TGAGAGAGATGATGCTTCTGAGGCCACCCTATCCCAGCCATATTATTCACATATCCAGTCCCAACAACAACAGTGTAGGGATGACCACGACAGTGCAGGTGAGCATGAAAGATGGACAAGCTTCGGGGATTTTGGATTGGGAACACAACAAAACACTAACACTCAAGGATTTGGGAATAGTCAGACGCCTGCTAATATCGATGATTCGTTTTTAGATCGAGTTAATGAATTGTTAAACAAATTCAATCAATAGCACCAGCGTGACCAAGAAGAACAATAAAGTCGTCTATCATTTTATTTTTAGATCATATGTTACTAATTTTATGCTTTATTATAGTCTATGTATGTTGATATACTTATTCCATGATAATTCTATGTTTATCCTTTTGTGTGATGTAAATTAAATGCTGAATGGCGGTTCATGTAGGGAAAGAACATATCAATATTCGCATATTCATTCAAAAACATGAAAATTCTTAATGGAGTACCCTCATTTCTTATTGAATTCCTAAAGAACAATATTTCTAATGAATTTTAATAATTTTTTCGGATTTTTTTTTAGCTTTATTCTGACAGATTCACCCGATTCCCGATCCGGATCGCCGATTCGCAGATCCGAATAGTTTTTTTGGGTGCCCGATCCGGGTCACCGATCCGTTTTTTAAACCATTGCTTAAAAATCATAAAAACAGACGATCTAGATATTGTGTTACAAGATGTATTATTTTTAAGATCTAAACTTCATTTTTCCTTTCATATCTATAAATATTGAAGTCAAGATGATCAATTGAAGAATTTTCTAGCGACGAACAACATTTTTTGACGGGTTTTTGAGGTGCACCTTCCTTCTAAAGTATAAGGTGGACACCTTATATAAATTTTTTCCGTCGAATAATGAATCGTTTAACTCAAGGCTGGCAACAGGCCGGGCCTGGGTTGAGCTAGCATTGGCCCTAGTCCCTATAGTGTCAGCACAGAAGTAAACTAGGCCAAATAGGCTCTGGCCCAAGCCTAGGTCCAAGCCCTATCATACTGGGCTAGAGCAAATAAAATAAAAATGAAAGGAAAAATAGGGCTGGACTGGGCCGAACTAAGCCAGCCTAGTTGTCCCTTGCATGACGGGACCGGACCAAGCTGACAGGCCATGCCAGGCCGCCCCGCCCAGCGCATTGCCACCCCTACTTAAATATGTGTAGTAGTAAAAGTGGTATTCTTTCTCTCTCTATACCTTCTCATTTTCTCTATCTATACCTTTTCATCATCTGGGATCGTTGAGATGAGATCGATAAGGGGCTTGTTGTACTCTTCAAAGGAGAAAATGGAGTCTGCATCTCTTGGATCAATTCCTGCACCAGCAAGGTCCACGGCTGAGACCTTATGTCCTTTATTCCTCAAAAGTGAAACAATTTTATACCAACACCAAGCGCCATGGCAGGCCCCATGAACTAGAACAAAGTGTTGAATCCCTGGATTTTCTCCCATGAGATTTTCCTATATACAATTTCTTCTGACACAAAAGGGGAGAGAGAGAGAGATGTGTGATACAATTTAAGTTGTATGAGTTTATATACTCTAATGAATCAAGAAAGGGAAGAAAATGTTAGATAATATGACAAATAAGTAAGACTCGGGCAAAACCAATGTCATAGAATTGTGTTTCTTTTTGTTTGTCATATTGAAAAGTAGCCAACAATAAAATATAAGCAAGGTGTGGGCCTGATAGTGGACCAGGTGGTCCGGCCTGGTCATCCCGGTCCTAAAATACTTGGACCTGGGCCACAAGACGTAGCATGAGGACCGTGCTACCATGGCCAAGTGGCCAAGGGGACAGCCCTTGTTTCTCTTACTTTTTTCTCAGTTCTTGAGTTGCATTTGGCTCTGCTGTGGCCTCTTCGGCGTTGTCAGGGCCAGGCCGAACTAGGGTTGGTTTAGTTGGGTTTATGGCCCAGGTCCAAGGCTAGCCTGGCCGGTTGCCAGCCCTAAAAAGGTGTGATAATTGAAAATGTTTTGAGAGGGTCACAACCCTATCAAAATAAGTAACACCGAACCTCAAAACTCACTAAATTTGCATTTTTGTCATTAGAGTACCTTCAAATTGATAATGTTAGTCCTAACCATTATGGTTATGAAAAACAAAATTGAGGATTTCAAGTTCTAAATATAATTTATATTATAACATATTATCTAGACTGTTCATTTCGCCCTAAAAACAAGTGTTCATGGATTCACAATGTCTATACTATTTTTTGAACTTCATATTTCATAGTTGGTGTTGAAAATTGATTTTAAAGTCTTACTGAGATTTTTGATGCTTAAAGTGCTTTTCGAACAAAAAATCGAGGTGAGGATTTACTTTGTTTTTCATAAAACCTAGGCCTTATAGAAATTGCATCCTTTACGAAGGTATTGTATACCATGAGACCATTTACTTTCAATACAACAAGGTCGCATTCAATTTTAGCCACTGGATGTAAAATTCGATAAGTGTAAATGTGTCATAACATTAAGGAAATTTCATTTTTTACTTTATGCCTAAGCAATGACACATTCTCAATCACCCGATTTAAAATCTAACGGCCAATGATGATCGTGGCCTCGTTGTATCAAAAAGTAAATACTCTCAGTATATATATTTCCCTCTACGAAATTAAAATACATTTCTAAATTGCATAGTTAATATCGTTTTTGAAATTTAGCAAACCATCAAATTTAAAACGTGATAACAAATTAAGATGAACCACTACGTGGCAAACTATTAGATACCCAATCTTAATTAATTACAGACCGTTCGTAGGAAATGGATGAGTGCCTGCGACTATGTATAGGATCGGGGTGCCGTGTCCTAACAAGTTTCCAAAGAGTAAAGTTGGACTGCTTTTGTCTAAGACTACGACTGGCCAGGCGGCCTGGTCTGCCCAGCGCTAAAAAATTAGGTCATGGGCTACAAAAAGTGGCCCGAGGGTCGGCCGGGGGGGTCTTTATCAAGGCCAGTCCGGTCTAACCCCTTTTCTTTTCATTTTTTCTTTATTTTTTTCCTTTTGATATGTTAGGCCCCGTTTCGCTAGGCCCAAGGCTGGCTCAACTCATTGCTTACCCTATTTTTGGCCTTTTTATGGCCTTTGTCAAGCCTAGGTAGGAGCATCACTCCAAATCTTGCATTAATTATAGCAAAATAGTTTGATAAGACTACAACCCTATCAAAATAAATAAAGCCTCATCTCATAACTCATCAAAAATTGCAATTCAAGTGTTAAAAACCTTTAAATCGATCATCACAGCTCGAACATTTGGGTTGTACAAAAATATTAGGATTTGAAATTCGAAAAAATAGTGTATGTTGCAACAAATCATTTAAACCATCCATTTCGCCCTAAAAATAAGTGTTCACATATCCGCAAAATTTATACCATTTTTTAAATTCCAAATTTTATTGTCGGTGTTGAAAATTAATTTTAGAGCCATCATGAAGATTTATTATGCCGAAAGTGCTTTTTA